CATTACTAAAATGTCTGTGCGCCTCCTCCACATGCCTGCTCCCTGAATACCGATCACTTCTAGAATATGTACATATACACTATATCTATATATAATTCTTTATTTGCTTTTACAAACTGTCATCACACGTCTCCTCCAAAGCTGCGCGCTCTAATTTCAGGATGGTTAGCCGTTGGCAGAATAGCAAATCCTCATCACCTGTGTCAGCCATATCCATTGCCTTTCGCACGGCCCCAGATACAAGATTAGTGACGTCTCCTCATACCACCAGCCAGGACTCGAGCGCACCCACACCCAAAATATAGGCTCAGCCCAGTCATCTATAATATGTCATTTGGCAGAATTGTATTGCAAGAGGTTATGCATAAGACTGGAATAGAACCAAAAAAAAAAACTAAAGTACAAAGTGAAACCAACCGAAGATCTCGTTTCAGTTTCCTGGTGCTAGCCAGCTGAGTAATAGGGTCAACAAGCTCTATTTTCTCCGCTCCAGTCTTTACACATCAACTCCAACGAGGCTTCCACCAAGTATCCCTGTGACCAGAAGTGGTCCAAGGATGGAAAACCTGTCGTCAACTGCTGACAGGGTCATGGGTGGCCAAGGCTCATTGATAGATGTGCAGAGGGAAGTCTGACCCGTGTAGTCCGATCCAATAGAAGAAATACTGTAACTCATATTGCCGAAAATGTTCATGTTGGTTCTGATAGAACGGAGTCTGAACACACACAGAGCATCGCAGTTTGTAGTATATGGGACTGTGTAGCCGCAGACCAGTCAGGGTGTCCATGCTGACCCGTGTGCACCACGGCAATGGAAGAAGGTGGCCTGGTCTGCTGAATCACATTCTCTTTTACATCATGTGGATGGCTGTGTGTGTCACTTACCTGGGGAAGAGATGGCAACAGGATGCACTATGGAAAAAGGAAAGCTGGTGGAGGTAGTGCGATGTAATGGGCAGGGAAACCTCGGGTCCTGCCATTCATGTGGATGTTACTCGGACACGAACCACCAACCTAAACATTGTTACTGACCAAGTCCACCCATTCATGGAAACATTATTCCCTGATGGCAGTGGCCTCTTTCAGCAGGATAATGCGCCCTGCCACACCGCAAATATGGTTTGAGGAACACAATGAGTCTGAGGTGTTGACTTAGCCTCCAAATTCTCAAGATCTCAGTCCGATTGATCATCTGTGGGATTTGCTGGAAAAACAAGTCTGGTCCATGGAGGCCCCACCTCACAACTTTCAGGATCTGCTACCGACGGCTTGGTGCCAGACACCACAGCATATCTTCCGTGGTGTAGTGGAGTCCATGCCTCGCCGGGTCAGGAAAAGGGGGACCTACTCAAAGTTAGGCGGGTGGTCACCATGTTATGGCTGATCAGTGTACATCTAAATCCGTAAAGTAGAGAGCCATAACAAATCTGATGATTCACCTTCATAAAATTATTACCAAGGACTTGTTCACACTGCATTCAGGGTGCTTGTCTGGCATTTTTAAATTGCACACATTTGACACGTTCCAAAGCAAAATAAATGTATGCCGCTGCGCTTTTTTTGAAAACTAAAACTGCAATTATGTGAAAGCCGGTGATTAGAATCCATTGAATTGATGGTGCTTGCTATTGGAAAGCATCGAGAGTGAACAAGCAGTAAAAGTCTACTAGGTCATTGTGGAAGAATGTAACTTAAAATAATAAACTCCCTGGACCTACTTCGTAATTTATAAAAGGGGCAAGAGTTCTATTAGTAGCTGTATCCAATATGCAGATATACGTAAATATGGACACACGCAGAACGCTACATCTTCCACCATCAGGAATAGGAACAAGTCAGTTTGTTTTTGTTGCTTTAATATACATTAGCTTTCCACTTCCATCAAGCAGCATTTACATCATCCTTTGACTCATACGGAGAAGAAAAGCCGTTCAGGAACAAATGCCTGTGTACACAAGCCCTCCGGCAGTATACTAGTCCCCTATAGAAATATCCATAGCAGCAGCCAACAGGGACACAAACAAGCAGACAGAATATATCTGCTCAGCTCAGGGAGGCTTCTAAAGACACATCAGATACATAAAGTATACAGGAGGGTGACTATAATCACCCATATAGACCCCTGCATGGAAACATCATCCCTTCCACAACCCTTAATACAGCCATTACGGTTGAAGACAAAGCATAATGTATCCCATCTCCTAGAGCAGGGGTCGGCAACCCCCGGCACGCGAGGCCACATCGGCTGGCACGCAAACTATTTTTTTTGCATTTGAGAGCTTGCTCGAGCCAGCTGTCAGATTGAAGTCCCACCCACCTCCCTGACGTGACCAGTTGACGTTCGTGCGCGGAACCGCACAGAGGTCCGCCGTGCGCTGGTGCTGGACTGAGGTCCGCCGTGCGCTGGTGCTGGACTGAGGTCCGCCGTGCGCTGGTGCTGGACTGAGGTCCGCCGTGCGCTGGTGCTGGACTGAGGTCCGCCGTGCGCTGGTGCTGGACTGAGGTCCGCCGTGCGCTGGTGCTGGACTGAGGTCCGCCGTGCGCTGGTGCTGGACTGAGGTCCGCCGTGCGCTGGTGCTGGACTGAGGTCTGCCGGGCATCAGGTATGTAAAAAACCTGTGTTTTATGAAAGTGCAGCGTCTGGGCTGGTCTAGTTTTAAGATAATACAGAAACAGGGATCACACTAAAACTGTAAGTCCAGTTTACTTTTTTAGTACATGTAAATATATTTTGTGTGTGCAATAGTTATAAAATGTTTTCACTTACAGTTGTGCTGCTAACGGCAAGATAAACACATTCAAATAATTAGTGAGTTTAACTTATTATTAGCAGTACAACTATGAGTACAAAAACTGAAATTTGCTAATACCATGGTGCACTATTGTTCAATGGCACTCGGTTGTCTGATGGTTGCAAAAATAGCACTCGGTGTGTAAAAGGTTGCTGACCCCTGCCCTAGAGACAGGCTCAAGTCACCTATATATGATCATACAAGGTCACCTTCCCTACAGAGCGATACAAGAGGGCTGGCTATTACAAGCTATCACTTCCCTATACAGCTACATAAAATAAAATGTAGATATGGGGAAATCTAGCTATCCAACACATTATAAAAGATTTCCTGCAGCTCTCTACAGAGCCACCCAGGTACCTATAGAATGGAATAAGCACACCACTGTACCTTATAGGTTTTTATAGGCCCTCCTTACCATGATGTCTTGAATTGTAATGTCTTCCTTATATTGTAAAGCGCTGCACAAACTGTTGGTGCTATACAAATCCTATATAATAAATAATAATAAATAATAGAGAGACCGGTCACCTAAAGGATAGTATAGACAGGCCGCTACATATCCTAGAATCACACAGGGACCTGTAGAATGGGATACACAAGCCGCTCTCTAACCTAGAGAGATATCCAAAATGTAATATGGGCACCTATAGAAGATATGCACTCTAGATTTCTATAGAGACATATAAAATAGGACAAAAGCTACATAAAATAAAATGTAGATATGGGGAAATCTAGCTATCCAACACATTATAAAAGATTTCCTGCAGCTCTCTACAGAGCCACCCAGGTACCTATAGAATGGAATAAGCACACCACTGTACCTTATAGGTTTTTATAGGCCCTCCTTACCATGATGTCTTGAATTGTAATGTCTTCCTTATATTGTAAAGCGCTGCACAAACTGTTGGTGCTATACAAATCCTATATAATAAATAATAATAAATAATAGAGAGACCGGTCACCTAAAGGATAGTATAGACAGGCCGCTACATATCCTAGAATCACACAGGGACCTGTAGAATGGGATACACAAGCCGCTCTCTAACCTAGAGAGATATCCAAAATGTAATATGGGCACCTATAGAAGATATGCACTCTAGATTTCTATAGAGACATATAAAATAGGACAAAACACAAGCTACTAGCCTCCATAGAAATACATAGAGTGGTATCTACAAGCTCCTATCATCTACAAAGATGGGATCCTATAGAGAATCACAGAATGGGATATTCAGAAAACTATCCACCCTACAAAATCTCTATAAAGCCAGCAGCATATAAAGATGGCATTGCTATCCCTATAAATCACTATACAGCCACCTATAGATATATACCCTATGCAAGCCACGATCTAACATATGGCCCTATACAGCCACACAGTGACAGAACAAGGTGTACACAAAGACAGGGACTCCACCGTAGTTTCTTCTAGAGATATATACTAACATGCACATCCTAGGGCCTCCCCTATAGACCTCTGTATAATCAGATGCAGCAGGGAGAAGTCTAAGGAGACATAAACCAACATACAAGCCGCGGGCTCCCCTATAGAATGTAATATGTAGAGTCACCTATAGAGATTTATGTATAGTATAAGGCAGCTATGCCCTGCCCCTTATAGCTCTCTATACAATACACAGTCAGCTATTGAGATGCATGTATATCACAAGTCAGCTACACCCTCCACTCCCTCTTTAAACATTAGACAGTCACCTGTAGAGGCATGTGTGCAATACCAACATTATAGCATGGGCAGCAATACATTGCATAGGTACCCATAGAGATCTATGCATATTGTGTACATAACACCCAGGCACCTACATGAGGACCTTTACACCCTACACAATGAGGGGAATTTATCAAAACTGGAGAAAACAAAACCTGGAGCTGTACACAGCAACAAATCAGCATCCACCTTGCATTTTCATAGCTTAACTAAACAGACTGAAGAGAGAAGCTGATTGGTTGCCATGGGCAACGGCTCCATATTTTGATTAACCCCCCCATTATACCTAGGCACCTATATACAGTA